ACGTGTATCGAACAATCGACGCCTGTGACATATATTTAATAACTTTTTTGCACGTGATTCAACGGAATGGAATTAAGGTTCATCCAGAATCAGCAATGATTTTTAAGCAAGTGGTTATTAATAACAAGAATGTTGAATATGAAACACTTAAAACAACGAAATGAACGAATATTTACTGTCTGGTCTGCTTGGAATTTTTTTGCTCAACCCACATTTCTTATTATAAATTTCCTGTTGCTACTTTCATAACAAAGGCAAGTTTAAGCAAAAGTTTTAAAATTAATTTTCTTACTAGACACTCCGATCGACACTGTTTTTATGAAGATGGTGGATGATTGAACAAGGTGGTAAATACAAAACATAATGTTAATAACAAGAGAACAAGTACAAAACTTGGTGGTGTGTATCAGCTTTGGTTATATCACATATCTCTCCCAAGAAGTATAAGTGGTGGTAACTGTAGCAGTAAGTTGCGGTAGAAGTGGTATCAGTAGTGGTAGTATTATGGTAAGTAGTAAAGTGGTCATGTACAATATTGTTGCAGTTGGGTGCTATATGTTAAACAACTGAACGTAATTGCAAAATTCAACATTTGTATATCTTGAATGATTTTAAATTTCGTAACTGAGCGTTGTTTGTGCTGAAAGATGGTATAAGTCGTTGTTTTAACGTGAACAGTAGTATTTTTGAAGGGAAAATTGACATTAAGATCCCATCAAAAAAAATGTTGACGTCCCCGTGAAAATGTTGTTTCCCACATGAGTATAGAAAAATTTTCTAAAAAATTTTTGCGAAAATTCTCACCACCGGTCATCAAATTTTGTGTAAATTTCCCCTCCCCCCGTTCAAATTTGTCTAGATCCGTATTGGCTACACTTAAATTGTTGTCGTTGAAGTTGTCGTTCCTATCGGCCCCTTCAACGACTCCATCTTCCACATCGGTCAATGCCATCACCCAACCTTTAAATCATCCATGAGGGCTGACATGTTGACTGATCTTCACTGCAGCCAATCGTTTTCTTGATTTGTTACATGATGTTTTGTCGAGGCTGTGTTTTGATGGGTCGTTTTCCGATGCTGTTGTGTGTGGTATTGTTTGGTTGGTGATGTTGTTTGGGGTGTTGTTTTGTTGTGTCAGTGAGTTTATAACCTTTTTCACATTCTTTGCTAATGCTATCTTTTTATAAAGAGTGCACAAAGCAGCATATTTTTTAAAATATGACGTGCTAAATTTTATTTAAAGAAAGTTAGAAGTTCGTAAATTTTTAATTTTGTTTTCCCAATTTTTTGTGCAGACTCATAGATTTTAATGTGTGATATAATAATAAAAAGTAGTTGCAGTTTTCTGTAGAAGTAATAGTAGTAGTAGTAGTTAGTGGTAGCAAGTAGTAGTTAGTAGTAGTAGCAAGTAGTAGTTGTAGTATGTGGATGTTGTGTTGTTTTTTGTACGTGGTCGGTCGAGTGTTATGTTGGTTTTGTTCAAATTTTTTCTTCCTTATCATTATTAGTCCTGTGGTTATGTTGAGTTTGCAGCTTTTTCGTAAGTTATGTTGTGTTTTTTTATGATGTTGTGTTTATGTTATTAAGCTGATGTTGCTGTTATTGTTTTGGTTGTCATTGCTAATGTGGTTGTTGTTATTTTCGTCGTTGTTGTTTATCTTTCGTACAGTTCTAGAAATGTTGAATCGGTTTTTGGTAGGTTAGTTGAGCAGCAGTATTTATCAATGTCAAGTTTTCAATTATCAATAGTTTTTAAGCGCTCAAAAAAATTGTACGTCTTTGTTGGCATTTTTGCTGGTGACGCTACTTGTGCAGCCTGAGGAATGTTTGCAAATTTTACATTTTTCATGTAAAAGAATGAATTAAATAAATTTAATACCAACATATGTGAAAAAAAATTTGTAAGCGTGAATGGTTTAGAAAACACAATCTATCAACATACATCATTGATACTAAAGTTTCACGGAAGTAGAATTCATGCGGTTATGATCGTTGGCAACATTGCTTCGGTTAATTTACTTTGTCGGCATCTTGTTGACTCGTCAACTGAAAAATGCTGATGCATGTCGTATCGGTGGAGGAAATTAAATAAAATTCTTCCACCGAATCATCTTGTCAAACACTTTCATTCAATTAATTCTAGCACAAGATACCAAGATTCCTAAAAAAGACCATCCAATCTATTTTTGTTCATTTTGGTCCTGCTTAATAGCAATTAGATTTAACATCTTCATAAGCTTTTTGATTTATTATATTCCTAAAAATTATTTTTTTTCTGAAGTTATTTTTTTTGTAAAAAATTTAAAGTTCGTTTGCAAATGCAAAACTTTTAATTAGTTCTAAAAATGTTTTTTTTAATGAAATTTTATTCTTAAAAGAATTTTAAAATTTTTGACTAATTAGTAAAATCGAAATTAATAATATCTGTTAAAATGCAGCTTGGCAATTAATGAAGATGTTGAAAAACTATTGAAAAGTTGTAAAACAATTGAAATGTTGATAGGAAAGTTGAAATGTTGACGAACAGATAGATTGTTGAGGAATATTAGAAATGTTGTAAGATAGCGAGCGAGGGTTGGGCAACGTAATTCAAAATGAATATCATCGTCTCTGGAGGATCTGGTGACGTAAATGGGGAGAAAACATTTTTTTGTGGTGGTGTTGGTTAAATAATTGTACTGTGGTTTTCCTGATGTTTGGAAAGCATGTTTGCTCCAACGATCAGTTTAATGGTAGATTTGATGGTCATACGTGGGTTATGCATGATAAACGTATATAAAACTTGAAATCAACTCGAAATCAGGATGCGAAAAATGGCGAAAAAGTCATGTTGAATTTGAGTTTTTTTAGTTTGTATTTTATATTATGTTTAATTGTGATTTGTAAAATTTAAAATAAAACATCTCTTGTAATGTCTATTTGTGGTTTTTTTTCGAAATGTGGTTTGGATTTCTGTAGTTTTGTGATTCGCATCACTAACCTTACCGTTGACTTTATTTAATGAATCAATGTTGTTATTAACTTTTTATTAATAATAGTAATTTTTTTTTAAACAAAAATAATAAGAAAAAAAGAACACATTTACTAAATGAACTGAAAGATAAAATATGATCGGCAAATGAAATAAGTTTTCAGATTTTTTGAAATTCAACATAATTCTCAATCTGTTTCAAAGTTCCTCTTACAAGCTGAAGAAGCGTAGTTCAACTCTTTTTACGTATCCAATGCAGAAACAATTGTAAATGTTTTGTGACAGCACTGCAGGAAAGTTTGTTTATACCTTTATTGCTAATGTTCAAAATTTGTTGACTATTTAAACACAACAATACTTTCAATAACACGCACGCACCAGTGGACTATTAAAGTATGTAATTAATTTTCCATACAAACAGCATATGACATGCAACAACAATTTTTCTTTGAGAGGTTTATCGTTCATATATTCGTGAATATTTTTGTGGCTTCGCACTCTGGTTTAAGATAATAATATTTTTCCTTATTTTTCCACAATTTAATTATTTCGGTTAAACACTTTTGAAAGTTTTTCTGTTGTCTGCCTTACACTAAATAATTAACTTTACAACTTTACAAAATAATCTAGTGATTATCGTATAACTGAAAAGTGGACAATTAAGAATGGTCTAGCACAAGGAAATATCAAATCGCGATATAAATAGTGCAGTGTGGTGCAGAAATGTTCTTTCGCTCAGTTATATTTTCATTAGCTGCAAGGTGTTCCATGTTTATTTAATCTTCGTGCTCGTTCGGGCGAAAAATTTGAAGTGTCCATAACTTTGATTTATTGGGAATTTTATCACGTGACAAAATACAATTTCTACTTTTTAAATATTTTTCTCATATGAATAGTTTTGTTTAAAAATGTTAAATTTAGATTTTATTTATATTTAATTTTTTTATTTTGTTAGAGTGATGTTTGCATTATGTTTTCTTTTCAACTACACCAAACTCACAAATCATTTCCATTCAAGAAACCATGTATAACGAACAAAAATAGTTTGCAAAAGATTCATTTGAATATAAAGAGTGATTTTAAAAAATGAGAAAAATATCAAATGCCGAAACAACCCAGAATAATTTTAAAAAAGTGACCTTAAAAATTTTTTTACGAACACGTCTAGGGGACAATATAATTTTCAAGAAAATCACACTCAACGTTACTGAGTGTTATTTGCTTGAGGTGTCGTGTCATTTTGTTGCAGTTGACTCAAAAAGTTTTCACAATTTGTATGTACGACCAATTATGCCCTCTGCCCTACATTATATTCCATCATTTATGGCGTTAAAATTTGATTTTCGAACAAAATAAATAGTCACTTTTAAACTTATAATATCCAAAAATTGTATGTAATAAAATTTGTTGTTAAATACATTTTAACTACTATCTTTCTTTTTTGCAAAAACGAATTTTATAAAGCACTATCTTATACAAGAACAAACATGATTTGTGTCATTAATTTCTCAATAATTTCTAGCGTTCAAAAAATTTACTTCTATTAAAAATCAAATAAAAAACAGTTTATTTACTTTTGAGCAACGTTATAAACAGAGATCAATTTGTTAGCGAGTTTGCCATATACATTGCAACATTAATGACGTTAAATAACTGCTATTAGGTGGAAAGATTTTGTGTTTGACTGACATCTTAAATTCAACCCAAATTTTTTCAAACGATTTTTAGAACATAATTATTTGTTAAGTGTTCATCGTTAAATGTACGAACAGCTGTGCGTTATCATCATCTTCAAACTCGCCTTTTTTCTCATCAGTTCTTACATTCAATGTCATCATTATTTTACTAATTATAATAATCATTGTTTTGTCTAATGACTATCATCATCATAGTCTTAATTATTCATCATAATCATCTTTCTCATCACCACTTTCATCGTCCTTCTCATCATCACCATTCTCATCATCACTAACTTCATCACCACCAACATCATCTTATCACCATTCTTATCATCAACCCAACAAAATAGATTCCTTCACGGGCGGATCGGGTGATTGGATCAGATTCAACCTGAACCTGACGCACGTGTTCGACATTGAGCTGAGGGACAAAGGCAGGTACGGGTTCGTCCTCCCCCTCAAATTTGTTCATCCCGTGGCCGAAGAAGCCTGGCTCATTTTCCAAGTTCTCACCTCCAACATCCTCAAAAATATCAATCTGGAAAGTCGGAAGTATTATAAGACCGTCCAAAAACAAGTGGCCAGAGTCAAATGTTTCGCAGCTGATTTTAATGAAACTCTATTGCAAACGACTGATTTTTCAAGTGTTTCCATCGCAACAAATTTCCCGTCGATAGCAACAACGTTAACCAATGCAAAAATGTTGTTGACGATGTTGATTATACTAAACTTATTTTTTCCTTGATTAACAAATTTATGTAAAAATAATGTTGTGTTAAGTAGTGCAAATTTAATATGCCTATAATAACTTTTGTATGACTTAGAGTATAGTATAGTTTACCGCCTTTACTTTAATTTCAAGTTTAGAGAACTTTAAAAAAAATTTTGTTTCTACATATGTTTGGAATGAGGTAGCTATTGCTTGGAATGATGATTATTTTTAAATATTTGGTGAATATTCCATTTGAATGTAACTGAAGGGCTAAACGAACATATTTTATTGTAGGCTATCCCTATAGCACGTTTTTAGTAATAGATTTTGTTTTTTAATATGAATAAAAAACTCTTTAATATCTACTTGAACATAACTCTGCAAATCAATGTTAAAATAAATAACAACTCCTACACACACAGTATGTTAAGCCTAAGTAACACACGCATTACGAAACATATAACATAAAAATCCATATATATATATATATATATATATATATATATATATATAATGATGACAATGTATATATATGTGCGATTACAAGTGATGATATATATATATATCATCACTTGTTAATATATATTTATATATATATATATATATATATATATAGAGAGAGAGAGAGAGAGAGAGAGAGAATTTAACATATAACATACATAACATATAACATATATAACATAATAACATAATTTTGTATACATTAATATATTCTGTATATATATATGTGTATGCCTAAATATGATCAGGGCTACGTGACACCAGCCCGACATATCATCGAACACTCTAAATTACGCACTTGACACCACATCCTACAAGTGTCAAAACTATTTCAAATGACTCAAGGAAAAATTAATTCTACAACTTCACTGGTGTGATTGTGTACATTTTTTTGCTCATGATGGGATTTGTTATCATTCTCATCTTCAATCTCAGCCCCATAAAAAAAATATTAGTAATGAAGCCAAACGACAAAGACTTTAACTACCAACAAACGCTTATTTCAACAACAACATTACATTATTTGTGATGCCATCTCTTGAATATGGCTAAAACCTTTTTAAATAATTTTGACTCAATGGTGCTTTTGAAAGAAATTGTGAAAAAATTGTGAGAGGTAAGAAAAAAAAGTCAACTTCCTTTAAATCTTCACCTTTTCCTATAGAAAATCATTGAAAATCATTAATAATTTTGCGAGCAATTATATCAAAGTCAATTTTTATTTTTGTGCAATGTATAAAACGAACGTCAATTTATTACCTAAGCGGTTACCTTAAAGTTATTCTTGCGGTTTAGACACTTGCGTTTGAACATTTAATTTGCCATACTTCTAACCAACTGGCATAATTGAAAATATTTCAATGAATACATTAAAGAAGTTTTATGTTTGTATAAATTTTCGAATTTCTTCCTTTTAAATAAATTTCTTAAAAATAGTTTAAATAGTTATCAAACAATGATTGGCTGGTAGAAAACAATTTAAAAACTTTTGAATTTCGAGCAAAAGTTTTCTTTAACTCGTTTCTTATTCTCATAGTCGACAAAAGTATATTTTGAATTCCTAAAACATTTGTAAATTTAGTTAATTCATTACTATATCAACTACAGTTTATAAAAAATCAGAAACGTGCTTTTTAATCTTTCTCTCTCTTCTTTTTCTCTCTCCTCTCTCTTTCTCCTCCCTTTCTGAAAAATGTGTGTGTGTGTTTGTGTGTGTGTGTGTGTGTGTGTGTGTGTGTGTGTGTGGGTGTGTGTGTGTGTGTGTGTGTGATGATATGTTGTAACTTGATTCACGAACACAATAGCATAAAAACTGACAGCACCAACAACATCAACAACAACAACACGGTCATCAATGATAGAGTTGTTATAAATAAACAAGTGGTTATGTAAATGAGGTAGAACATGCACATCCGTTTTCGCATTCAAACGCTCAGCTATCTATCACAATATATTATGTTCATGAATTTAATAGCAAATCCTGTGCAATATATTTTTCTACTGCAGATGTTTGTTACAAACGAACGCGAAAGTAATGAGGAACGCGATGTTACACAGTTGCTTTAAATGTTTCGTCATCATCGTAATTTCTGTTTACGCTGTATGTGTCTGTTTGTGTTGGTTAAGTCAGCGGAGGATATCTCACTCACTGTTGGTCTGACCGCAACTATTTCGTTCCTAATCACACTGAATATTTATAGACAAACCTAAACGACTAAACGAGGAACAATTTATATACATTAGTCAAAACAAAAACAGTCTCTTGTATCTGAACAGTTGTTGGCTAAAACTTTTATGAAATAAATAAAATTGATCGGCATCCGATTTGACTGATGGGTTTCGTGTGAGTGTCTTCTTGTCTTGTCAGTCAGGTCAAATGAAAGATATCTTCGGCAAGTATGTTATCAATTAAAATTTTTAAAAATAAAATGTATAGATACATTAACCAATAAATATTCATTACCATTTAGTTTTTATTATAAAATAATTTCAGAAGTTTTAATAATCTTAATTCTAAACTAAAAGAATTTTTATTCTAATATTTTAGTTTTTTAAAACTCTCAAACCTATCTCTACATGTTGAATATATTACATTGATGACATTACACACATACAAACAGAACTTACAACAAGGCAGACATTTATACAGTGTTAAAACTGATTCTCTCTTATTAGTAATAATTGCCGTTAATATTTTATAAAATAATTAGTAGTAGTAGTAGGAATAATTGTTATTATTTTATTGTTTTATAATAATAATAGTTATTATTATATGTAATTATTATCGATAATAGTAGGCACAGTCAGATTAATTCATTGTAATTCTCTGTAATTAGCGCCTTTATTGTAAATATCAATCCTAAATTAAACACGAAACTTACCACGTAAAATTTTCTAATTACAAGAGAATGATGAAACGTTGATTTATTTGGGCGGCCTAGATGTTTACTGGCTGGTTTCAGTTCCGATATGACTTTGTTTAAAAATGAACATATCAATGTTACTAAATCAGCTATCAGCATCGTCACGTTAAAACGGTTATAAATGGTAAAATCACAACGCAAATATAACTCTATCACTATGTTACATAAATAATTTTGTTACTTAAATTTTTTAAAGAGTAAATCTTAAAACAATGATAAATGCAATGCATTTACACACACACACACACACACACACACACACACACACACACACACACACACACACACACATAAAAATATATACATCATGCAGTAATCTCAATTTGTACACACTTACGTACGTGCATACAAATCGAATTACATGCCTGTATTTGTATGCATGTATAATATACAAGTCCACGAAAGAAGCGTCAGAGCAGCTAGCTATCTCTTGTTGGAACTGCCCAGTACTGTACATAAAACAGCATACGTACCTAAGAACGCTGTACATATTGTATAAGTGTATGTACCGTGCACTTAAATACAAATAAATATAAACATGCATATGTAAACATCTACGTGTATACATGTATTTGACGCACATTTGATATATTTATTTATTTATATATTATATACACACACACACACAAACATATGAATATATATATATATATATATATATATATATATATATATATATATATATATATATATATATTTAAACGTTTTTATTGACAAATATAATGCACGATTTTGATTTATACGTAGATGCACCATTAAACTTCTGATTGACATCATTCTGTACATTCTTTACAATTTAATAGTGCCAGCAGTGGAAGGAGAACAAACATGTCAAACTCAGGACATTATAAAATAGTTGACGATGTCTGAATGGGTGGGTGGATGGATATTGTTGAAAGATTTTTTGTAGTAAACTTCTGTATTGATATTTTTTTGCGAAATTGTTAAAGTAGGATAAGCTACTGGAAGGTTATGTCAACAACTTTTTATATTTTAACTTGTTATATTTTATGTTTTAACTTTTTATATTTTAACGAAGTCAGAAAATTTTATAAAGTAGTCTCATAAATGTTTTATTTACATGAACGTGTGCATATTTATATAATTTTTATTCCTGAAATTTAAATGAATGACAAAAAGTTGAATTTAAATTCAAACTAATTTTTCGAATTGATGAGTTATTTAATGTGATTACAATTTGTTAATGTCGTGATTTGAAACATTTATTATTCGTTATTAGGAGAAAATTTAGTTCAAATTTTTAACTTGCAATAATTTTGCACACACATGCACACACATAATACACATGCATACGCACACATGCATATATACGTATATACATACAAACACACACACACACACACACACACGTTCAAAAGTTAGATAACCAATTAGATGTTCGTATTATGCATTTGACTGAATAATTAAGTTTCTCACTCAATCACTCATTAAAAATTCAAGGAATTTCCGAATTAATTAATGTTTAACTTGTTTGCGTCGGTTGTCTCATATTGAGGTCTTTGTGTAAAACATTGACTACATGGTTTCTTTATTTTTATTATATTTATGATTATTATTATTATAATTATTACTATTTTAATAACATAATCAATGTTATTAATTATAATAATAGTATTTAATAACGTAACTGAGACGTGTGCACTTATCATATAAATATTTATTAGACCTAATTAACAGGAAGGAACTAAGATTATATCGAAATTTTTGTTGCATTTCTCATAAATATTAACAGTACACGAACATTGCTTGCGTAAAATAGACATCAATCTGTTTGCAGTTGAACCCGGTCCTCCCAACGCAGGTCCAACCAGACGCCTCTAACCATTACACTAGCTCACCTTCCCGTAGTTATCCATGTACCGTGTGTGTAGCAAATTTTTAACAACTTAGAATTTCATGAGATCAGGCTTAAACTTATACAGTGATTTTTCATGATTTCATTATTATTAATTATGTTATTATTATTATTATTTTAATCATGACTATTTCTCTATTAATTAATTAATTATTGATTTTACGCATTTGATGAAAAATAAAAGATCTGTTCTCATTATTACTATTTTAATAACATAATCAATGTTAATAATTTTAATAATATTAATTAATAGAATAAATAGGATTTATAGAATAAATAAAAGTAAGCACATTGGAGGTAGTTTTGTTGAGATTTTAGTTGGCGTTCAATAGAAGAGCTGACAATTGTTGTCTCAGCGCGATACATTCAGGTGTTGCTTAACTTTACGTTCTTGCATTAATAATCAGGTCTATTCTGTTACTGTAGCTTCATAACGGTGAGTAAGCCTCATTAGGCCTCATAAGACTAACGCGCGTCTTCATTTTAGAAGTTGCCAATTCGGATAGATTGAAATTTATAAGAGCTAAGAACATATGATAACAAAGATAACATAAAATATTTTTTAAAT